ACCCTACTGGAGAAGTTTTTGGATGTGCATAGGGATTTGAGTCTTAGAAGATCCCATTCATCTATGTTATCTTCTCCTGGTTGTAGGTGAATTATTGCATTTTTCAATTTCATCATGGTGCTTTCTTTCTAGGATTTATAAATCTTTTTCTTCCTCATATCCTCCCATTTCCCTCGCTATGAGATTGATTCCACCTTCTAAAACTCTATGCTACCTGTTGCTTAGGCTTCAGGATGTCTTCTACTTGTTAGCAATACAGATTTTTCCTTCCTTGCATGCAAACTAAGGAGTCAGGTGACTTAATCCATTACACTTGAGGCTGCCAACCCCAAAATCAACAGGTCAAACCCTCCAGTTGCTCCACAGAAGAAAGATGGGTTGTACATAAAGCCTTACACCCTTGGGAAATTAATGAGGGTCCCTACGTCAGAACCACTTCTAGTGTAATGTGTTCTAGTTTAACATTTCAAGCCTCCCTGGATGTTTTGCTCCCATAGCGCGCTCTCTCTGTGCTGTCATCTTGTTCCCCGGTTTCTGTATCTGACTCTGAGATTGTCCAAAGGTTCTCATCCAAGTAAGTCTTGGACTAATGCTGTCTTATTCCTCCATAGTTTTTTCTGCTTAGTATTTTTCCTAATAAACTTCCTTTTTATGTGTGTGTGTGTGTGTGTATATATATATATATATATAGTGAATTCTGTGGTTTTTGTTAAATTTTGAGTAGTTTATTTTTCCCCCTTATTTTATTTATCTGTTTATTAAAAGAGTGTGTGTGTGTGTGTGTGTGTGTGTGTGTGTGTACACACCGTCAAATAGGATGTGACAGGCACAGGAGGAGATTGTCCCACCTTCTCCAGCAGAGCATCTGGAGGATTCGAACCACACGCCTCTGGTATTGCAGTGCAGCTTCTTGCCACTAGGCCACCAGAGCTTGCTGTGATTTCTGTTTTTAACTTGTTCTCCTAATGCTTTAAATTTTTCTTCATGGTAATGAATTAGTTGTGCTTGGGATGTACTTGTTTTCCAGTAAAGTTTAGTGAAGTAAATGCATCTGTCCTGAACCAATGATTTGTGTGTGTCAAAAACTGACTTATTTGGTGTTCTCTGTGGGGATCACTGGTGGCCTAATGGTTAAGGAGTTGTGTTTAAATCCAAAGGCATGTAATTCAAATTCATCGGATTTTCCACAGAGAATGATGGGCAGTGGCCTTCCATGTGACTCACCTCTTCTGAAAGTCCACTAGAGGTCAGCTTTGTTGTGGTTAGGTGCTTCCAAGCCAAATAGGACTGATAACAACACTATGAACAGAAAATCTGAATCCAGTCCTTTCCTGCACCATCCTCACACTTCCTGACACAGGACAGCCCAGTCACCTTATCAGTCCACCTGGTTGAGGATCTTACCTTTTGCCATCCCTCCACCCTTTCCAACATCATGTTTCTCTCCAAGGAATAGCCCCTCTTAGTAACAAGTCCATAGTATGTGAGGCAAAGACTCATTATTCTTGCCTCCAGAGAGCACTCCAGCTGTGCCATTTCTAAGACAGTTCATCCTCTTGGCCATCCATGGTATGTTAAGTGCTCTTCTCCATAGCTCAGCGGCATCAATTCTTTTTCTGTCATCCTTATTCATTGTCCTGGTCTTCAATGCATTGCTAGTAATTAGAAATATGGTCTGAATCAGACACACCATAATCCTCAAACTGATATCACTACTCCTCAATAATTTGGAAAGGTCCTTAAGTGAAGATTTTCCCAGTGCAAATGTGTTTCCTGATTTCCTGACTGTTCAAACCAAGGGTGTTAATTGTGGACTCAAGCAAGATGAAGCTGTTGACAGTTTCAATCTCCTCTCCATCCGTCGTGACACTGCCTGATGTTCCAAGTAGCAAGAATCTTTAGTTTCTTGATATTGAGACACAATCCATACTGAAGGCTGCATTCCTTGATCTTCCGCAGCAAGTCCTCAAGCTATAAGGCAGTTCCAACTCTATGGTGATGAGTCCTATTTTAGAAACCATCATATCTGTGGTCATGAGTCACAGATTATCTCATCTTATTCCTCTTCAGCCAAGCTCATTGCCATTAGCCGACCTCTAGTGGGGATAATACTGCTCATCTTACTAGGAATATATGGTACCTTCAGATGCCTATTTTCAGTTAACCAAGCAATGCTCTACTGCTCTGTACCTTAATCCTACAGAAATGTTTTTACTTCTTTGTTGTGTTATTTTTATTAGTAAGTGTGATATTTTGTTTTCGTTCATATCCAAACATTGTTGTTTTAGCTGTGTGCCCTGGAGTAGGAACTGAGTCATACCTGACCCTACTAGGGTTTTCAGAGACAGTTAACTGCATAGGAGGAGGTGACCCATCATTAATCTCATAAGGCATCTGGTGGATTGGAAATGCGTGTCTTTGGGATTGCAGTCTAACTACATACTAGTAGGCCATTGAAATGTAGTTACTAAAATTTCAAATTATGTATCTAATGTTTTGGGTCTTTTTTCCTTTTCCTGGCTTAATTTCCAATCATGTGTTGGCAATTTATTATTTTCTTCTTTCCTAGACGTCCCGATTGTTGATGATCATCTGCTTGACCTATTTTCTAATGAAAGAATGTTACATAGACTGGAGCACAGTAACCTTAATCCATTGGAAAATACTGAGAATCAACGCAAAACTCATTTTGATTTCATCGAAAACCATGGTATGTTTGAATTACTTGAGAAAACTATGAAATCAAATTTCACTTTACCTGTCATCCACCAGAGACATAGCAATCAAGTAAAGCCCTCTGCTGAGCTTAGTGGAGATAATAAGACCTTGTTCCACCGTGACTATGACCAATTCTGGACTGAAATTTTCCTTGAAAGTCAGAAAGCAAAGGGCACTGAGGCCATACTCCATAGCAATCAGACAACTCACAAAATAAAGAAATCCCATGTATGTAGCGACTGTGGCAAAGTCTTCACCAAGAACTCAAGTCTCACTGTCCATCAGCGAACTCACACTGGAGTGAAGCCCTACGTGTGCAGGGAGTGTGGAAAAATGTTCATCGCAAAGAGTTACCTCAATGTCCATCAACGAACTCATACTGGTGAGAAACCCCATGTGTGCAAGGACTGTGGAAAACGGTTCATTGCAAAGGGTAACCTCACTGTCCATCAGCGAATTCATACTGGAGAGAGACCCTATGTGTGTGGGGTGTGTGGAAAAGCCTTCATTAGGATGAATCGCCTCACTCTCCATCAGCATATTCACTCAGACAAGAAGCCCTATAACTGCAGTGAATGTGGGAAAGGCTTCATCAAGAAGATAGAGCTCACTGTTCACCAGCGAACACATACGGGAGAGAGACCCTATGTGTGCAAGGAGTGTGGAAAAGGCTTCGTGAGGAAGAAGAACCTCGCTGTCCATGAGCAAATTCACTCCAGGCAGACGCCCTATATTTGCAGCGAATGTGGGAAATGCTTCATCAGGAAGTCAAATCGCAGTGTTCGTCACCGAACTGAAAATGGAGAGAGACCCCATGTGTGCCAGGAGTGTGGAAAAGACTTCATCAATAAGATTCACCTCACTGTCTATCAGCAAATTCAGTCCGGGGGGGAGACTCTATAACTGCAGTGAATGTGGGAAAAGCTTCATTGGGAAGACAGATCTCACTGTTCATCAGCAAACTCCTACAGGAAAGAGACCCTATGTGTGTAAGAGGTGTGGAAAAGCCTTCATCAAGATGAAAAGCCTCACTGTCCATCAGCAGATTCATTGAAGGGAGCAGTGAATGTGGAAAAGGCTTCATCAAGGAGACAGAGCTCATTTTTCATCAGCAAACATATACAGGAGAGAGACCCTACATGTGTCGGAAATATGGAAAAAGCTTCATCAGGAAGAATACCCTCATTGTCCATCAGCAAATTCACTCTGGCAAGAAGCCCTATGATTGCAGTGGAGGTGGAAAAAGATTCATCAGGGAGACTGTCCATCAATGAACCTATATTGGCGAGAAGCCCTATAAATGTGGTGAATGTGCTAAATGTTTCGTGCAGCAGACAAATCTCACTGCACGTGTGAAAACCTTCCCCATGGTGACCGTGAACAATTTTGTACTGAACTCATGGTTCCCCGAGAACCAGAGGTCCAAGAAGATTTCTGGAAAATACTGATCTTCAGCAAAAACCTCATTTTCATTTTATGGAAAACCATGGTGTTTTTCAATTTTCTGAAAAAACTGTGAAATCACATTTCAGTTTACCAACAGTCCACCATTAAAAAAACAACCCAACCACACAGAACAACAAATAGAGCACTCTGCTGAGATCAGTGCAGATGAGAAAACATTGCTGTACAGTGACAGTGACTAATCTAGTACTAAAATGACATTCCCTGAGAGTCAGGGAACCCAAGAGCACTGAGGCCCAATTCACAGAAATCAGATCACTCACAAAAGAAAGGCATTTATGTAGAGCCTGTGGCAAAAGCTTCATCAACAAGGCGTGACTCACTGTCCATCAGGAACTGACATTGAGAGAAACCCTACAAATGCAGTGAATGTGGGAAAGACTTCATCCAGAGGAGAGAACTTACTGCTAATCAGTGAACTCACACCGGGGAGAAACCATATGTGGGCCGGAAGTGTGGAAAAGGCTACATGAAGTATAATGTTCTCACTTTCCATCAGCATTCTCATTCTGTAGAGAAACCAGATAAATGCAGTGAGTGTGGCAGAGCTCATCAGGGAACTTGTAGTGGAGAGAAACCCTTTACATGCACAGAATGCTGTCCGTGCTTGACCCGTAAGGCAGGGCTCACTATGAACCAGGGAACTCATAATGCCATACACCAGTGAACCTTGTAAATGCAGTGAGTGTTTAAAGGTCTTCATCAGAAGACATACCACACTAGTTAACAGTCTCCTACTGAGTCGAAAGCCTATATGTGCAGGATATGTGGAAAATTCTTCATGTGGAAAGATGGCCTCAGGCTCCCATCAGTGAACTCACAGGGAGGAGGAGCCCTATGACGGTGGTAAAGAATTCCTCAGGAAGGCAAAGCTCCCAGTCCACCGCTAACACATACTGCAGAGAGATCCTTTGTGTGCAGTGAGTGTGGAAAAGGTTTCAGGAAGAAGGTAAAACTCACTGGACATCAGTGAACTCATTCAGTGTGGAAGGAATCCTCGTATTGGCAGTGAATTCATTACAGTCTTCAACCAAAAAGTCATTCCTCATTGCACATCAAAGACTTCAGCCAGGCAAGATTTAATTTTCATGTACTGAATGTGGAAAATCTGATGCCCAGCAGTCAAGTCTTAATAGACATTGGAAAATTCATGGGCTACAAACCATTTCATTGCGGATTGTGGTTGGCCGAGGAAAGAGAGATGGAGACACCAAGAATGGAGAGAAAGAACAGAGTGCAAAGGCAAGTGATGAATAGCTTGAAGGCTGAAGTTCCCTCCAGCCTCTGACTTTATTGAGAATCACTAGGAAATAAATCACAAAGCAAATTCTTTTGCAAGTGAAGCCAAGTTTATCTTGATTGTCAACCTCCTGCTTATCTCAGGAGGAAGAAGTTAGCAAATGCAAAAAGATTGTGAAGATGTTCCTTGGCGCTTGACCCCTGCAACCTGTCCCAGGAGGAATTTCAGCCTGTATATGTGCCTCCCTCATTTCCTGATATAGCATTTTGTGTATCATTTAAATTAATATTTAGTTGGAATGGGGGTTGGTGTGTCAGAGTTAGTGAGACTGGCTCAGGACAGTGAAGGGTTCGGAGCTGCTGTACGTAACGTCGCAATACATCACTGCCCACTCAATGGCATATAACGGTAACATACTATGACAGATTTGGAAGCAGGAGTGGCATCCACTTTCTAAATAAGATGACTCTGGAAACTATGAACTTTGATAAATGTCGATGGCTGTAGAGAGGTTTCAGGCCTTTTGTTCATGGGGTCACTGTAAGTCATGCTCTACTTGAAGGCAATCAACAACAACAACAATTTGGCTTCTCATATTTCCCCCCTTTTGTTTTTATCATAATTATGTTGTCATCAAGGTGAGCATGGCTCTTCTATGATTCATTATTGCTTGTTTTTTTTCTCCATCCTTTATATCCAAACAGCATAAGATCACAGAAGTACCTCCAAAAATGTCCATATGATCAAAAGGATTCAGATTAGATATTCCTTCACTTATCCTATTTGGGATATTGACGTTGTTAAAATAATTCAATTGCTTATCAAAAGTAGGAATGGATCTGAGCTTGTAATTTCTTCTCTGAACCCATGATTCATAATATGGTCTTGATCTTATGCCAATTCCATTCTGTTTCATTCCACTTTACTGGAGTAATGCAAAACCACACAGTATTCCAATCACATTTTAATTTGTTTTTGAAAAGACCATAGCTTTTCAGAATCTTGATGCCATGTTTCACATAATCTATGGCTTGAATTCTTTGATATTAAAGCCATGCCAGCTATAGCAGCGGTGGCAGATGGCGATAATTCCTAAAATTGCTGTAATGATAATTCAAATGACTCTTCTCTCCTTTTTAATGATTATGTTTCCAATTGTTATAAAATCATACTTTCAGGGAATGCCATTTTCTCTCTAATTTTGCTGGCAATCATAATCCAAATCAGGATCTTAATATGTAAATACTTTCATTAAATGATAAAATAATAGAAGAATTTAAACAGATATAACACTGTGACACTGATGTGTCAAATGCGTTAATGATTGGTTCCCCATGCAAGACAGTGTTGGGTGAATCTCTCTGACTAACGCAAGCTTGGAAGCAGGAGCGGCATCCACTTCCATAATAGCTTGCCTCCAGAAAACCCAGGAACCTGGAGAGAGGATGAGAGATACACAAGTGTTGAGGACTCTCCTTCATAGGGTCACTATGAGTCTCCTGCAACTCGACAGCACTTAACAACAACTACAGTGTTAAATTTTTAGAATCCCATCGAGTTGAACATTTCAAAAATACATAAAGTAATGAACCACAGACTTTAATATAATTGGTTTAATTTCTTTTACATTTAGTGCTAGTAACATTGTGAATATGACCGTGTGAATAATTTCCAATCTATATAGATATATGTCTCAATGCAGTTTTTATTTTCCACAAATGTTTTGGGTAAGAAAAATGCTGTAAACGTGGATACAATTCCACCATTCTTCCTTCATGCCATGATATATTGTTATTAGCATGAGCAGTTATAAGTTCGTTGCCTTCCTTACACTGTCTTAAATTCTTAATTCCTTTCTGCTGACAATTGGAATCAACAGGGCTCCAATCAATGATGTACACTGGAAGTACTAATTAAAACTTCCTCTCCTTGACATTGTTTCCAATATATTCATTTTTAATAAAAGAGAAAGAAGGCAACTGATAGGGAGGAACATCAGGATAACCTAAAATTATTTTACTGGTGTTTCCATGAAAACCATACCCTTGGAATATATAATAGAGAGACATAATATTACCCAAAATTTTATAAAGCCATGCCTGAGCTTCAACTTTCAAACAATTGGATTTGTATTCAATGCATATGCCAAAATCATCAGTGCCAACACTATAATTAGAAATAATCATTCCTTCTTCTTTAGTTTTAAGGTGTCCCCTGTTATCTTGGGGACCTGGAAGGTACTGACAGTCATTATTATAAATAGGTACAGGAGTATCAAACCAACGAACTACTTTTAATAATGGAGGATTAGAAATATATGCCCAGTAGCTCGTATTATCTGCCCTTCCTACCTGACTCACTACAGCAAGCGTAGCCAAAAACAAATGTTCAGAAGATATTGGTTCCCTTGTCTTTTGTAATACTTTTTTCCCTTCCATCGTTAATTTCTTTATCTGGCCCCATGTGGGTATCTCAGCATTTTTAGTCTCCAGTAATGGTCCCTGTGTTTGATACTGCTCAGCTGTCACCATGCTCATCCATTCCACAACTCCTTCCTTGTCCAAGTGTGGCCTCTTTCAGCTCATCTCGGGGTTTCACATTCCTGGGTGGCACTCAGAGTGTTTCTGAACCTGTAGAAATATAAGCAAATGATAGACCCCACCTAATAACAAATCCTTTTTTCCATCATTAGTTAAACGTTCCCTGAAATATTAAAGCTGATTCAATTCTTTATATGATTGTCTTTCATCTGGAGTTTCCCCCTTTTCATTAGTATTTTAAACATAGAAGTATATAAGGCTCTTTGTAAAATAGTTCAAGGAGATAATGTTCGTCCTATCCCATCTCCACCTTTTTGTGTTTTCAAGATAGTTTGTAAAGTCAAATTAGCCCTTTCTATTATAGCTTATACTTGGGGGTTATAAGGAACACCACTAATAAGATTAATGTTCCATTTCTTGAGAATTTGTTTTCTTAGAGTTAAAAGCAGGAGCATTGTCAGTTTTATTACTTAATGGTCATTAAAGGTTTCAATTAAATGTTGAATTACATACTCTTGATTTTTCTCCTGATAAAGCAGTGGCCCTTGGAAGCCTAAAAAAGCATCAGTAGTATGATGAACATACTGTAACTTCCCAAGTGATGAAATATGAGTAACATCCATTTGCCGTAATACATTTTATGTCACCTCTAGGATTGA